TGTGTGCTTCCCCTGTGAGGCCAATCTGAAAGGGCAGTCCATATGGAGGAAGGCAGGGAGGTGAGGTTGAAGAGACCCGAGGCCAACCCAGAGGGTTGGGCACTACTTCCAGTGCCCTAGACAGGGGCTTGCACCTTGTGAGGAGGGAGATGTCCCTTACTATGCAGGCCGATAGCACTGAGCCAGCTGAGCATTGGCCAGAGAAGGCCCATGCTGGACAGAGGGGACCAGACACAAGATGAGTGGGCACAGTGAGTGGGCACAGGGTAATGATATGATAAAGAGACCCCCACACAGTTACTTGTACATGGTGGTCTCCTTAGGGCTTCTGTGTCCATCATCAAGAGGGATCCAAGAAAGGGAAAGGCTTTTTATATCCAGTTAGAGAAAGAAGACATGGTGTCTTGCACACAGTAGGTGCTCAATTAATGTGTATTAGACAAATGCAAATAAGGAAGTTCTACCTGATAAGTGGCTACCATGTGGTAGTTTGGAAAAAAGCAAGGGTTTTGGAGCCAGCAGTCATCTCATCTCTACTTCTGAGCCTTGATTTCCTCATCTGTCAAATGGGGATAAAATCCATCCACCTCAGAGGGTTGTTAAAGACAAAACAAGTAAAATACTTCAGACATCATGACTTGTCTGTAAGCAGTCTGGCCCAAATGAGGGAGCCAGTCAAGGGCCTCAGGCTGGGAGGCTGGTAAGGAGGCTCTGGGCTGGGCATGGTCAGGAAAGACTTTAGAAGAGGGGGCTTGGACTCCCCTTAAATGAAAACAGAGGTCAGTGGGAAAAGGGAGGGCAGGCCATCTTGCGTGGGTCTGAGACTAGAACTGAGCTAAGAGGAGACAGATTCAGGAGGCTGTATACTGAGGAGTGATGGGAAGGTGACTGCAGACTGGCAGAGAGGATAGAAGGAAGGCTCTAGACTAAGACCGCTGGAGTTCATTCATCATTCAGCAGACACCACTGAGCACGGTGAATGTTTGCATGGCATGGTGCTTTAAGACTTACTGTGTACCAGGTGTGTTACAGGTAGCTGAGCATAAGCTTTTGGGAGAATGGCACACAGCCATTCTGACACACATCCCATTCAGGGATGGGATCCCCGAAGCTGCCCCTTGGACTGCTGTGGGGGACACCCTCCTGGGGAGTTTGCTTGAACCTAGATTCCAAGAAGAAGAGATATCATACAAGTTTTTTAAATACTTAAAAGCAAAATTTGAATTACAGTGGTGATGTTTCTGCACGTTCAGGCTTCAAGAGAAAGTATCATCCTTCCCAGCTGTTGTTCTTGGTGTGTGTGTTTTCACTCAGGTGTGGTCAGAGAACAAAGTAGTGCTGTTGTCCCTGAGTCTTTTTGGAGACATTCCTGTGTGGGGAATGGTTAGAGTCACGAGACTCCCACCATTTTGATTTATCCCTTACATTGGTGTTTAGAGAACATTCTACATAAGCCAGATACGATTTCCCAGATATTATGGTAAATGGATAATTTTTTAAATGGACAAGTTGAGTTGCTGGGGATAGATGGGACAATTCTGAATGAGGTCGAGGAGGTTCCAGTGTGTTAGGGGAAGGTCTGTTTGGCTGCAGCCTGAGTCACACTTGGGAGGTGATAGAGATGACCCTGGAGGGGTAGGTAGGGGCAGAATTGTAGGATGTGGCTTCTGGGTGGGGACCTCTGGATGCAGGGGTCAGCATTGGAGAGCTGCCCACAAGGACCAGGAGCCTGGGGCCCCCAGGAATAGGCTCTTTTGCAGAAAAGCAGAAGCTTAGACTCTAATATTGGAAATTGCCTTTGTCTGCCGTTTCTACTTTCCACCCAGTGCATAAACACTGTCTGCGGAGGACTGTGCCTCACTTCTTACATTTAATGATGCAGCAGGAGGCGTTTCTGCTAGGAGGGGTTGCAGAGAGCTTCAGTCATAAGGCCTCAGTCAAGAAGAGATTTCCTTCTCCTCTATTTTGTCTTATGTCACCACCCATGGCTGGAATTGAGCTAGAAGCCCTTTGGTCGGGCTCTCCTCACTGCAATCAGAGCAGATAGGCTTTTTACACTTTCATAGAAAGCAGAACATCTGCAGTTCCAGGAGTCATCCAAAAGAGGTATTTTCTTGCTTGTTATAGACAAAACCCAAAGGGATTTCTTAAGAGTGCAAAGGAGAGAGATGGGGATTCAAGATAAGGGGGTCCTGCTTGAGAGCAAAAGTTTTGAATTTTGGCCTAAAGAGGCCCTGACGTTTTTTCAGTCCAGACTCATACAGGCAGTGGTATAGCAGGGAGAGCATAGGCTTTGGAATCAGATAACATGCGTGCGTGCTCCATCACTTCAGTGACTCAGATTCTTTGCGACCCCATGGACCATAGCCTGCCAGGTTTCTCAGTCCATGGGATTCTCCAGACAAGAATACTGGAGTGGGTTGCCATGCCCTCCTCCAGGGGATCTTTCTGACTCAGGGATTGAACCTATGTCTCCTGTGTCTCCTGTCTTGCAGACAGATTCTTGACTGCTGAGCCACTGGGGAAGCCCCAGAATCAGATAGACTGAGGTTCAAATGTTAGTGCTGCCTCTGATTAGCTGTGGGACCTTGTGTGACATGTTGTAACCTTTCTGGTCTTCAGTTTCCTCATCTGCAAAATTGGCCTCGTAGGGCTGGCGAGATAAACAAGTGGAGTATAGCCCAGAGAAGCTCCTGGTGCCGTCCCGTGATGCAAATGTTATTTCCCTTCCTCTTCTGCTCCCATTATTCTCTTCCTCCCATCTGACTGTGCATGGACCAGGAGGCAGGGGGATGGACAAACTCCTCTGATACTTCTTTACTGACCACATTCTATGCATTAGGCTCGAGAGACTTAGAAAAAAACAGACTTCATCTTTCCCTTGTGGGGTTTTCTGTCTGATGAAGGAAACAAACCAGTTCACCAAAAAGCAGCCTTTAACGAACCGCAAATTGTGACCGTTGTAGTGAAGGAATTGAAGCATCTTTGGGGTGATGCAGTGGGTTCTGTTTAGGCTGGTGAGCAGGAAGACCTCCCTGGGGCAGAGGCCAGCCACGCAGGGAAGGAGGAAAACCATCCAGGCAGAGGGAACAGCATATGTGATGGCCCTGAGGCTAGAGCAAGTGTAGCCTGTGGGAAACAAGGAAAGGAGGCTTGTGTAGCTAGGAAGAGTGGCAGGAGCTAAAGTTTGGCCTTGATAGGGTAAGGAATTTGGCTGTGCCAGGTCTTAGTTGCGGCATGCAGGATCTAGTTCCCTAATCAGGGATTGAACCAGGGCCCCATGCACCAGGAACCTGGAATCTTAACCATCAGACCACCAGGGAAGTTCTTGAATTTTGTTTTAAGTAAAATGAGAAGCTATTAAGCATGCAAGTGATATGATTCAATTTATTTAAATATTTCTGAGCCTGATCCTAGAGAAATTCAGAGTTTTTCTCTGCTCAGATTCCTGCACCACAGCCACATGTGGGCAGTCCAGGTCTGTCTCAGTGTGGCTCCCCACCCCTCTCACGCAAACCCAGGCAGAGTGTGGAGACAGTCCAGGCTTCACAGATGTGGGCTTTTCACGGTGCCCACTTCTGTGGTGTGTGGAAAAGCCAAGGCTACCACCTGAGATTCAGTGCTGCCCACTCTAGCACATGCTTCTGTCCCCCATCTTCTACTGGCCGGGAGCCCCTGGCCTGGAGGAGAGGGACACTGAAGCAGGAGGAAGTAGGAATGCCCTCCTTGGAGCGGGTAGGATCAATTTCTGAAGCTGCTGAAGCCCAACTGTGAGTCAGTACAGGGCAAACCTCTTAGCTTATTCTCATCTCTAATCAAATGTTCAGCTTGATTCTAAGAGGGAAGAAGGCACTGCTAGGTGAAGACCAGAAGTCTGCATTGTGTCATCCATCTGCTCAGGCCAGAAATCCCAAGGGCTGGGGCCCATATGTCCTCTCTGGGTTGGGACAGACAGATTCCCCACCCCTCCCCCAACTTCCCAGAATCCTTAAGACGCCCATAGAAAAGGCAAGGATGCTCTGGCTTTCCTCCGAGGACCAATCAGGTGGGAGCTTGCAGCTTCCAGCAGCATCTTCTCTCTTATGTGAGCTGAAGCCCTGGACCATGCTGCTGGGCCTGGAGCCTGGAAGAGGGAGGGATCCAAGGACCCCTCAAGCTCCCACCCTGACCTCTCACTCGGTCCTGGGCTGAAGAGAGAGCTCAGGACATAGTGCATAGAGATACACAGTGAGCTGTCTCAGGGAGTGGAATCCGGGGCTCCTGGCCCACCAGCTCCCCTGGGGTTGAGGTGCTAATGAAACAGCTCTTGACCCTGACCCTGGACTCCCAGCCATTGACGTCAGGGAAGCTGAAAAAATGTAACCTGATTCTCCCCCTCGGGTGGCAGGGGAGGCACACAGGGACGTGGGAAGGGGAAAGAGTGACCAGAAGACAGGGCTGACCCAGCTTAGGCCAGGACTTGACGAGGGAGAATTCTGTGCTAGGGTGCTCCGGCGGGGGGCGGAGGATGTGCTATCTGAATGAGTGGCCTAAATCCTTTCTGAAAGCAGTCATCCGGCACTACAGCAACCATCAGGTAAGAGTGGGCTTCTTCCAGATCGGGAAGCTGACACTGGCATTGCCGCCTGGACACAGGTGACATAGCCATGGACGTGATCGGCAGTACGACTGCCGTGGGGGTGCATCACCATCATGAGGCGTTCACATTATGATGCGCATACGCATCCCTGTGTGCATCACCACCCTGGGGATGAGACTCAGCCTGACCACATCCGGATGCGAGGCAGAGGGACTCCTGTGGCCACGTCAGGGTTGTCTGCACTCTGATGTGTTGGAGGCAGGTGCCAGCTTGGCCTCTGGCTTCCCGCCTCTTCTCACAACCCTGAAGAGATGCAGAGCAGGGCCATCCCCCAGCTGCCACTGTCAGTGACCTCCCTGTCCCGAGATCTGCTGTGGAGGTGCTGGGCCTGGAGCTATAATTCTGCCTTGGGGTTTTCCAGGTGGATTTTCTGATTGAAAATGATGCAGAAAAGGACTATCTCTACGATGTGCTACGGATGTACCACCAGTAAGTGTGCAGGGTCCAGGTTCCGCGGACCAGCCTGGGTACCTCTGTCTTCAGGAAGCCCTGGGATGTGTCGTTCTGAGACAGGACCACTTCCCGCTTGAATCCTGGGGGCGGTGGCGGGGGTGGGGGGCTCAGGGAGGCCGATGCTCGGTGTTCCTGGGACTCAGGCAGACATGCCATTCATTTGTGTCAGCAAATATTTCCACAGCCCAGGCAGGTCCACGGAGACAGGTCATGAAGACCCTGAGCCTGCCAAGGAGAATGGACTGCATCCTCTGGGCAGTGGGGAACCATCAAAGGGTTTTGAGAAGGGAGCTTGAGAATAATCGAGCCAGCTGGTAGCCAAAAAAGTGCCGGCCCTAGACACTGAGGGTCTGAACGGTGTGAGGTGGAGGCTCCTGCGATATACTGGGAGGGCAGGATTTACAGAGCTCAGCTGCAGCTCGGAGGTGAGAAGCAGGGATAGGAGAAGGCTGGCCACTACCTCACAGACGCTTCCTGTCTGGAAGGACCCTGGGTTTTGGAACTAGGCAGAGACGAGTGAGGATCCTGGCTTGATTTCATCTGCCTGATGGCTTAGCAACCCCTACCTGGATGGTTTCCTTGGGATACTTAGGTGGGAGAACAAATTTTTCTGAGGCACCTGGCCCAGGGTTAGGGGCTCTAAGCTTTTATCCACCCAAGGTCTGGGCCCAGGGGTGGGGACCCAACCCAGGACTGCTTCCTCTGGGAATCCTTGGGTCTCAGAGGTCATGGCTATGGATGAGGCTCCAGGGCCCCCGTGTTTCTGCAGGACCATGGACGTGGCCGTGCTTGTGGGGGACCTGAAGTTGGTCATCAACGAGCCCAGCCGTCTGCCCCTGTTCGATGCCATCAGGCCTCTGATTCCTCTGAAACACCAGGTGGAGTACGACCAGCTGACCCCCCGGCGCTCCAGGTGTGGAACGGAGGGAGCTGCAGGCTGGAGGCGGGGGTGGGAGAGGTTACTCTGGGATGGACAGGGTCGCTCATGAGTGGATGGGGGCAGTGCTGGCCATCGGACCAGAGCTGGGGTGTCACTGGCCCCTCCTCCCATGGCAGGAAGCTGAAGGAGGTACGTCTGGACCGGCTGCACCCTGAAGGCCTCGGCCTCAGCGTGCGTGGTGGCCTCGAGTTTGGCTGTGGACTCTTCATCTCCCACCTCATCAAAGGTGGCCAGGCCGACAGTGTCGGGCTCCAGGTGAGTGAGCAGGGCCCAAGAGTCGTGGGCACCAGGCCCTCAGGCTTCCTGTCTCCCCACACTAGGCTGTGTGGTGTAACATGGTCATCTCACCCTTCTGAGCTTTTGGGAGAGGAAAAGGCCACTGTATCCTGACAGATTGTCCTCAGGCCCATAGAAATCTGGCTGCAGGCACTTGTCTGTTTTCAATTTTTGATTTTTATTGGAGAATAGTTGATTTGCAATGTTGTGCTAGTTTCAGGTGTACGCAAAGTGAATCGGTTATACATATAGATATACGCACTCTTTTGTAGATTCTTTGCCCATATAGACCATTACAGAGTATTGGGTGTATTCCCTGTGCCATGCAGTAAGTACTTATTATCCACTTTATGTCTAATAGTGTGCTGCCTGCTTTCTTGAGGAGAGCTGAGAACCTGGCTGCCCCCACCTGCTCTGCACCCACCTCCCTTATGTCTGAAGGAAGAGCATAGTTATGCCTTGACACCTGAAGTTCTGGATACATAGCCTTTTCCCTGGAAGGGAAAAGGAAATCCTGGCATAGTGCAGTGCTTCAAGCACAGGCTCTGAAGCCAGAATATCCTGGCTTTGCTATTCATTAGCTGGATGCCTTTGGTGAAATTACTGCCTTAGTTTCCTCATCTGTAAAATGGGATGACGAACAACCTACCTCATCAGGTTGTTCTGACGGAATAAATGAATTCACATTACAAAGTACTTGTATCAGTACCTGGCACATAAATGCTATGCATTTGTTTATACAAAACAGCATGTATTTTATGCTCCTCGAATATGTATGACTTCAGTTTGTATTTGTGTGTGGGAACACACACACACACACCAATGAAAGGCTGTTATTTGTTGGAGGAGGAACTGGAGTGGATAGGGAATAAAGTGAGAGTGAGTTTTTTAAGGCTACATCTTTTAGATTGTTTGGCTTTTGAATCACATGAATGTATTATTTTTTTTCTAAATGGACTTTTTATTGAAGTTTAGTTGACTTACAGTGCTGTGCTAATTACTGCTGTACGGGAAAGCGACTAAGTTATAAACGTTATATGTTCTTTTTCATCTTCTTTTCCATTACGGTTTATCGCTGGATGTTCAATATAGTTTCCTGTGCTATACAGCAGGATCTTGTTTATCCATTCTTTATATACCAGGAAATGCCATCTGCTTGTTAAACAGGCAGAGAGGGAGATTTAATAAGCACTTGTAATGTGCCAGATAACGTGCTGACAGCCAGTTCTTTTTATATGCTTCGGCTGGATCATCCCCATTTTACAGAGTTGATAGAAGATCAGGGACTTGACTAGAGTCACACAGCCATTAAGTGGCAGAGCCAGGATTTGAACCAGGGTCTCCTGATTGCCAAGCCCAGGGATCTCTCTTCAGCACCCCAGGGTCCCTCCCTTGGGGTCTCCACACCTCAGTATCAGAGCAGAGATGGGAAGACCTTCAGGTCTCGCTCCTGCCAGAGCCCAGAGCTGTGTTTTTGTATGTCCAGCTAAAAGAGGCCCTCCCATGCCCTCCCCTGAGCTTCCAGCATGTTTCTTATCAACATCCCAATCTGGGCTGCCAAGCCAGGGGCTTCAGGGGGCCCAAAGGCTGGTATAAGACACCGAGGAGTGGGAGGTGGAAACTGGGTGCTGACAGACATCGCTTTGTTCTAAATCCCTGTCTCACGGCTCGCTGGGAGCGTCTGAAATTTCAGCCCCTTCATTATCCCTCTCCTGTGCTGCACATTTTCCAGCCCAGAAACACAGCCAGAGAAAAAACATAATGAGCTCCTCTCTTGGCGCCAGCTGAGCCCTTTCTTTTCTCCCAGGGTGAGCTCTCCTCCTAGGAAAAGCCATTTCTCAACGGCGCTTCCGTGCCTGGGGGCGTCGGGGCATTTTAATGAATCTTAGAGTTTTTCCTCCCTGCCTGTTTCTCAGGCTTATGAATTATCGACCCTTTCCCAGGTTGATGGATTCATCTCTCCTTTGAGCTGCTCTCCCTCAGATCGTCATTTCACTGTGGCCCTCGCACAAAGGGCCTTTTGCAGGGCTCCATTCAGGGGCAGGAAGGAGAGGAAAGCTGATCCTGCAAGTTGAGCTGGGGAATCATCCCACTGGGGTCCCACAGGTTCCCTTTAGGAACAAGACAGGGAGCTTCACTCAGAGGAGCTTGGGGGAAAAGGTCTGCATCCACTCACCTGTCTGGGCTTCATGTTTCTGGAGAGATCCCATGCCTCAGGGTGGCTGGGGGAAGATTCCAGAAGGCAGGGGAGGGGCATGTTCAGACAAGCCTGGCCGAACCAGAGGCCCTGATGATTTGACCTGTGAGTCTGGACTCCAAATGGCGTCCTGGACCCTGCCCTGGAACTCCATCTCCGCCCTAGTCTCCCTACTGCAGGTATTTTAGGTTTTATCCGCATGTGTCCTGCCTGAACCTGTGTCCTCTGCCCTGCACAACTTGCTGTATAGTCCAGGGCTGGAGAATGATTCTGTGTGCCTTGGCTGTCCCAGCTGGAAAATGGACAGGGTAATCCCTGCCTTCCCTACGGTCCTCGAGGGCTCTGTCAGTGGCAAGGATCCAGAGAGGACAGGATGCAGGGAACTGCAGCCAAGCTTGTCCAGACGCCCTTCTTTCCTGCTCCCAGACAACCAAGAGACAGCATTTGCTGTCTGTCAGGGAGACCTGGCTTCAAATCTCAGCAACACTCTTCACTAGCTCGATGACCTTGAGGAAGTCTCCTCACCCCTCTGAGCCTCAGTCCCCTCACCTTATGAGCAGAAACACAGGTTGTTGCGAAGAATGGATGCAGGGAGGTCATCCAGCTGTTCTCCTTCTGTGAGACATCCCCAGAAACACAGCGAGTTCTTTAGCAAGCCCCTCCCCTGCCCCGTGTCACCTTTTTGAGCTGCCTGGCACTCATCCCAGGCCCCTGAGAAGACTGGGGTCTGTGTCCAGGTTGGAAGGGAAGTGTTTGGGTAACTCTGGGGCAGGGATGTTGCAGAGGGTAGGAGTTGGCCTAGAGGACCCCTGAGAGGCTGTATGCCTGCCCAGTCCTCGTCCCCCACATGTACTGACAAGCCTCCGAAAGGTCAGGAAATGTGATGTGAGTGAAGCCTCCAGCTGACCTGTGTTGGTCTCAGACTGGGGAGGGCCTCCACCAACCAGTCCCAGTTCTGCAGCTCATGACCGTGACCCTGCGCAAACCATCACCTCCTGGGCCTCCATTTCAACTGATGTCCAGGCATCCTTCCAACCTGTGGTTGTTAAATGAGGAACTTCAGGACTGACCCCCAGAGCCAAGGTTGCTCGGGGGAGCCCACAGCCGTGTCCAGCAGGAAACTGACTGATGTCACCAGGGATCCGTATCCAGGGCTGGCCCCGCAGGTCCCTGAGCCCCCATCTCTCCCAGTTGATGAGACTAAAGTCCTGAGAAGAGGGGTCTGAGCAAAGAACTTAGAGCTGAGGCCCAACTAATGGTAACAGCAACTATTTATTGGTTATTTACAGTGTGCTAGGCGCTAGCTGGCGTTACACGCTCACTTAATTCTCATGGTATCCACAGTATTTCCCCATTTTACAGATGAGGGAAACTGAGGTTCAAAAAGCTCAAGAGACTTGCCTAAGGTCACACAGCTGAAAAAGCAGGGGGTTGAACCCAGGACATCTGATGCTAGAGCCTTGTGTTCATTCAGTGTTCATTGCTTTCTTCCAGAAGAGGAATTCAGAGGTCAGGGCCAGGGCAGAGTTAAAATGTTCATTGAGTTTCCAGCGAATGGACAGAAGAGATCGTGTGTGTCAGTGATGTGAGCTTGAGTCAGGAGTCGTGGAAGTTCCTATCCTGACACTGTTGTGGTATTGCGGTGCAAGCCTGCTCCTCAGGGTTGGGGGAACAAAGGCCAGGGAAGAACCACTTGAATCTGGATGAAAGGTTGCCCTTTGCATGGATTCCAAAACCTGATGGTGCCCCCTGGATGGAAGTGACACAGAGTGTGGACAGCGAGTTCTGACTTTTACCCCCAGTTCTGCTTCCTGCTCTCTGTGCGGCTCACCTCCATCTTGGTTCCCCCATCTGTGAAATGGGCAGAAAGCCTGCTGGGAAGTGCTGCTTGCCCTGGGCGTCCTCCAGCTGATGGAGGGTGTGTGGCTGGTGACAAGGCACTGGCCGTGCGCTGCCCAGCAGCCTGATGCGTGTTCTGTCTGCCTGTGGTCAAGGTAGGGGATGAGATCGTCCGGATCAATGGGTATTCCATCTCCTCCTGCACCCACGAGGAGGTCATCAACCTCATCCGCACCAAGAAGACTGTATCCATCAAAGTGAGACGTGAGTGAGGCCAGGACAAGGGGCTGCTGATGGTGGGGTGGGGTCTGGCAGCTGGCGGTACCCAGCTGCGATGGGAGGAAGGAAGGGGAAAGAAGCTATCGTAACCCACCTCCCCTTTCTCCCTCAGACATCGGCCTGATCCCTGTGAAGAGGTGAGCAGGACCCTCCTCTGCAGGCAGACTCTCTCCTGTGTACTCAGGGTCCGGGGTCAGCCTGGGGTCTGGCCAGCTCTGCCCCTGGGCCAGTGACAGTGGAGGCTTCAGAGAGGGCAGACTTGGATTCTGGGTCTGGTGCCTTATCTCTCCCTAATGACCCCTGTTCTACATTCCCATCCCGTCAGCTCACCCGAAGAGCCCCTCAAATGGCAGTACGTGGACCAGTTTGTGTCGGAATCTGGGGTAAGGGCAGGACCACCGTGGGGGGTGGGTCTGGATGGGGTGGTCTTCCAGGAGGAGCAGCCCGCCTGAAGGAGGGCTTGCTCTAGGGAGGTGCTCTCAGGGGGCTTCACACAGGCTGCCAGCGCATCCAGAATGGCCCTGTGGGCGGCGGCCCAGCCGGTGCAGACACACCCCTCCAGGGCCAGAAGGGCAGTCAGGCTCGCGTGGAGTAGCAGTGCTCACCCTGGAGGCCTTAAGAGCGCAGGAGGCCACTTGCACAATGTGGACACCTGGTGACCTCAGCCTCTCCCTCCCCCAGGGCGGGCGGAGCAGCCTGGGCTCCCCCGGCAGCCAGGAAAACAAGGAGAAGAAGGTCTTCATCAGCCTGGTGGGCTCCCGGGGCCTTGGCTGCAGGTGGGTGGCAGGCACACCCTGGCGCTCACTCATGGCCAGCCGGCCTCTCACACTGCTCCCCTTTCTCTCTGCTGCTACTGAGATTTTTGTCCACTAGTAATGACACTTCTTAGTGCCTGATTTCCCCTCTGAGTTTCACAACAGTCCTGTAGGGCCAGAGGGACAGCTCTATCAGGCTCATGTTACAGAGGAGGAAACTGAGGCCCAAAGGCCCACCATGTTCCTTTAGTGGGCCCTCAAGTCACACAAAAGGAGCCTATCCAGTTGGCCACCTCTGGCACAGTTCTCTTGTCACTTATTACTTTGTGACTTCCTTAAGAGGCAGCCAGGGAATTGCCAACAGGCAGAGGGGCTCATGGGACAGTCTTGTTAAGCACACAAGTGCAACAGTTAAGAGATCTAGGTTCCGGGCCCTGCTCTGCCACCTATGAGCTCGAGAACCCTGGACTAATTACTTAAGCACTCCAAGCCTCAGCTTCCTCTGTCAATCAGAGGTCATAGTCCCCACCTCACAAGGTTGTTGTGAAAAAGAAGGAGATGACAGAGTGAAGCACCAAGGTTAGTGCCTGGCAGGTAGTAAGCATTTTGTAAATATTAGCTATTATTATTTAAGGTATTCTTTCTTTTTTCTTTTTTGGCCTTGCCATACTGCTTGTGGGATCCCAGTTCCCTGACCCCAGACCTTTGGTAGTGAAAGTGCAGAGTACTAACCACTGGACTTCCAGGGAATTCCCTAAGTGAATCTTCTTATTTCCTTTCTGTCATATTTATTTAACACTTTTCTGCCAAGCATAAGTGATAAAAAAGAAAGTCCCTACTTTCTAAGAAATTATAGCTTAATATAGAAGCCAACCACATAAATAGTTACAGTACTGAGGGACTCTCATGCAAGCATGGAAAATATTGTCTACTCTGTGCTGTCTCTAATCAATTAGTGGTAGCTGCCACCCTGAAGTACTATTTTGAAAATAACTTTAAGGCCATATTTAGGCTCAGATAGAAGAGTGTTTGATTGATTGGTGATGTCTGCCACAGACCTGGGAGGGGAGGATAACAGCACAAACGCCATCCTTGCTGTAGGTGTTTTAGGAGCAAGGGGAAGGTAGCAGCCAGCTTAGTCTTGAGAGAGAATAAGGAGTTTGGTTAAAACCATGAGGAGAAGATAGCATTTGAGTCTTAAAGAATGCACTGGAAAATGCTAGAAAAAAAGAAGAAACAGCATCTGCCTGTTGGATGAGAGGTCGGGTGTGGGGAGTTAGAAGTAGCTTCCTGTGGTTATTGCCCCAGGACTGGTAGACAGAGGCTGAGGAGGTAGATGGCAGAGGACTTGGGTACTGAGCTCACAGGGGACCTGGACACACAAGCAGATGGGGCAGGACATTGAATGAGCAAGCACTTTGGAGCAGAGGTCACCTACACCTCCCATCTCTCCCGCAGCATTTCCAGCGGCCCCATCCAGAAACCTGGCATCTTCATCAGCCATGTGAAGCCTGGCTCCCTGTCCGCTGAGGTGGGGTTGGAGGTGAGTGACCCTAGGCCTGCTCCAGGGGGACCCCCTAGGGGTGTGGGGTTGGACTGTGATCTCATAGGGGTGGAGCACGTGCTTTCCCACACAGCCCTTTCTCGGCACTCACTGGCTGATGATTCCCGTTAATCCCTTGAAGGGAAAGCTTCACAGAGGGGGTGACATTCGACCCTTTCTACAGCCCTTCTCCAGCTCTAGGATCCTTTGGTCCTGGGCTTGGGAATGTAGTAACAATAATCTGAATTGACATTCATTGAGTGATTACTGGATTGGACATTGTTCTAAGCCCTTTAAAATGTATGAGAACTCTGAGAATTAGGTACTATCATTAGCCTCATTTTGCAGATGAGGAAACCGAGACCCAGAGAAAGTATGTGATTTTTCCAAGATCATGTACTTGGTAAGGCAGGTATGGGATTCAACCCTCGGTGGTCTGATGCTAAAACAAGAACTTCTAACCTCTACTTTAGACAAGTTACTTCCTTTTTCTGTGCTTCAGAAAAATGATCCTGTAAAGTGGGGGTAATAGTTTTCCTTCTAGGGTCATTGTGTAGATTAAATGAACTAACACATATACTTCAAACTGTGTCTGATACATAGGGAGGGATCAATTAATATTAGCTATTATACTAATTATTATTATGATTCCACACAGAATCTACTGTATGAGAATCTTAAAGGCTCCTATGTCTACAAACTGAAATTTTTAAGCAAATGCATAAATTCAACCAAAGGAATGAACCTCTATTGGTGTAATATTTGAAAGATATAGAGAATGGAGGGGCTCTGGGAGGACCCCACGCGAACGCTGCTCATTGGAAAGAGTTGAGGCGCCGCTGCTTGAAGATCCAGTGTCTGATACTGGCCTCCAGGGGGAGCCCTTCCAACAGAAAAAGTGTCCAGATAATACATGTACACTGATGCCTCTCTGTTTCTCCCCCAGACAGGGGACCAGATTGTTGAAGTCAATGGCATCGACTTCTCCAACCTGGACCACAAGGAGGTGAGATGTGGGGTTTTCACCTGCCGGCCAGGATGAGCTCTATGCCCTCCTCTTTCCACCCTCCTCTCCCTTGCCGCAGTGTTTGAACCCTTCTGTGCTCCCCAGAGGCCTCGATTGCTCTGGTCTGTCAGGCCTCTGCTGATTGTCTGTCTGACCCCTGTAGGCCGTGAACGTGCTGAAGAGTAGCCGCAGCCTGACCATCTCCATCGTAGCTGGAGCTGTAAGTCCAGAACGAGCTGGCGGGAGCCCCACGACCCCTACCTGCAGCCCAGCTCCTCAGACCCCTGGTCTCCGCCACACTCTCCTGGCCCGGGGGTCTCTGTCCCTGAAGCTCTGACAGCTGATGGGAAGACCCCTGCCCAGCCAGAAATTAAGGTCACAGAGAACAGCAGCCACATGCCTGACATGGAGGGCCATAGTGATGAGAAGACAACCCACTTCTTGGCCCCCCAAAGCACTGGCTCTGTACTTCTAGGCTCCCCGGGGACTGAGCAAAGGGCCTGTTTTCTCCCCACAAGGGCCGGGAGCTGTTTATGACAGACCGGGAGCGGCTGGCAGAGGTTCGGCAGCGCGAGCTGCAGCGGCAGGAGCTCCTGATGCAGAAGCGGCTGGCGATGGAATCCAACAAAATCCTCCAGGAGCAGCAGGAGATGGAGAGGCAGTGAGTGTGGCCAGCCAGGGCACCCCGCGCAGCACTCCCAGGCCCTGTACCATCCCCTGCTTTGCTTCCTGTTGGCTGCATCCTGAGCTGACTTCATCCTCCCCCCCGAGGCCTGTCCTCAGACCAGATGGGTTCAGTGATGCTCAGCGCGCGTATCCCCTGCCTCCAGACCACTGGGCGTCACCCTCTTTAACAAGGAAACTCCCTGATTTCCAAGACTCAGGAATATGGAAAATGAGGATGCTACTAGCAGTAGCTAACGTTTGTCAAGTATCAAACATGCAACTGACATTGCATGAGGGCCTTGTTTATGTACCTGAACTGAATTCCAATAATAACTGTGAAAGATACATGGTTATTAACCCATTTTACAGGCAAGCATACTGAGACTCAAGAGAGGTTACACCACTCGTGTACCAAGTCAGATATGGCCAAGCCGTGGAATTCACACCCTGGCAGTTTGGCCACCCGATCTGTGGTGATTAAGAACTGTCCCCCACCAGTCCCAGAGTGGCTGGGATGATGACTGAGAATAAGTGGAGCTAGCAATTCATAACTCAAAACTATTGTCAAAATTCCAATCTACCTGCGTTCTACAAGCATAGTAAGAATTTGGGAAAGGAAGGTGGACAGGATCTTTCCATCTCTCCCATCACAGAATTAGCCTGGAAAATCACCCTGGCCTTGGTTAGCAGCCCAGGATTGCTTCTAGGGTCTGGGGCCCTCCTCTGGGAGGACCTCACTCAGTCACTTCCTCTTGGTGTTTAGAGGTGGCTGCGTGGCAACGTGGCCTGCCCTAAATGGGCTCCAGTCCCCTGCAGAGGAGCATCTCTGCTCAGCAGTGCCAAGCAAAACCACACAGACTTTTTTTGGGACCCAGACTTTTTTGGACCCACTTCCCCATCTGCATTTGGTCCAGCCATCCTTGGAAAGGAGCCTGGAAGAAATATTTAAAGCTTTTTCTCAAATCAGAGATTAGCTACAAGGAAGAGTTAACTTCTCTCACATCGACTCTGGCATGCCAACTTGCTTTTGTGTTTCAGAAGGAAAAAGGAAATTGCCCAGAAGGCAGCAGAAGAGAATGAGAGATACCGGAAGGAGATGGAACAGTGAGTGCCTCGGCCCCACGTGTCTGCACGCACACGTCTGTGTGTGGACGTGAGTGTGCTCACAGGAGTGTGGCCCCAGAGGCCACTTCCAGGCCCAGTGTACCTTGTCCCCTGGTGGATCATCCTTTGTAGCCATTCCATAATGTATGGAATAATATATGTAGCCATTCCAAATTCCATAATTTGTAGCCATTCCATAATCCTAGTAATGGGTCTTACTAGGTGGGGGTGACTGGAACAGTTTTGTCACTGCCAGGGTGGCCTTCCCACCTGATTTAGAATACAGTGCCAGGGACTTGGGTCCCTCACCACAACTGGAACCACACGGCTTCTCCCCAGGGTGGTTGGAGTCCCCCAGTAGGCAGAAGGCGGGCCTGTGAAGGTTGTGACTCCAGTCACAGGCATGGGAATCTTATTTCAGGATCGTGGAGGAGGAAGAGAAGTTCAGGAAGCAATGGGAAGAAGATTGGGGCTCAAAGGAACAGCTGCGGTCACCTAAAACCATCACCGCCGAGGTGCACCCAATACCCCTTCGCAAGCCAAAGTGTATGTATCATGTGCTGACGGGGAGAGGGCTTCTTCCAGGGGCCTGGGGGTGTCTCGACAAAGGTACAGGTCTCCTTACACCTACACCACCTGCCCAGGCCAATCGGCCACGGTTGTCTTCATGGAGGGGCAGCCATGTGCAGAGGCTGTCTGCCAGCGTGTTGGGATGGGTGGAGTCTGCCTGCCTTCCTTGTCCTGGGGCCTGCTGCCCGGCTCTGCCCCATGACCCAGACTCCGGCATGTGCCCTTGGACCTCTGAAGAGGGACTGGAGAGCAGTGGCAAAAGCGGGAACAGCTCAGGGATGATCATCTTCGTGTGTCGGGTGTCACGTCCCCTTTTTGCCGGGTTCTAAACTGGGGCTGTGGTAAAACAGTGGTAAGAAAAAGCAGAAGGGATTCACATGAGAGAAGGACCCTGTGATCCAAGGCTGATGGGTAGCTGTGGGAGGAGCTTCCTGGGAACACCCCTACCACCTGCACCCCTGTGCATGGACCGCAGTCATGCCACTCCAAGGGTGGAGTTGGGGAGAGAACTGTGCTACCCTCCGAGGCACCAAGCTTCAGCCATCCTGGGGCGTCAGCAACCTCTACCCGTCCCATCTTTCCTCATCTGTCTTATGATCCCACGTCCACTTTGAGTCCAGGCCCCCACCAACTGCTCACCTATCCACCTGCTCTCCAATTCAGCTCCCAGGATGTCATGTCCCTTCCAGGGGCAGAGGAGGGGGTTCAGCCTCAGTGCTTCTCCCGTGGGCTAGTGGTGGGGAGTCAGGAGCGATGCAGTGTGGGGGCCGTGGCGGTCACAGGTCCAGGATTCCTGGTTGGGCCTTCACTCTGACTTTCCAGCTGTTTTGATTTGTACCTGACATGGGGCAGAATCTATTCCAGCTGACTGTGCTCAGCTGACCTGGGATCCTCCAGATAAGGGGTTGAATCTGCATCCAAGAACCACGGTTCCCCCACTTCTGCTGTGCATCAGCCATATGGGATCCTGTGATGGGGTCCAGAGAGTTGTGGCCCCAACTGTGGATTATACTGAGCCCTGGAGGGACATCTCCTTGCCAGCACAGGCCACTTGGGTCCACAAGAGGTGCAGGGCGTCTGGATAGTTCCATGCCGCCCTTCCCGGGGGCAGGGCAAACAGCCCCCAGCACATTCCTTACTGGCACCAGGGCAGTGTCATCTTGGGTCCTCTCCCAAGGACAAAGCACGCTGTCATCAGCTACCCCATGACATTTGGTGTTAGTTGAGCTAAATTCTCAGTGAATAATCAGTATTTTAGACAGGGAGCTAATTTGCTCTTAGGAGTGAAATAGGAGCTTCCAAAGGAGAGGAATCAATTTTAATTGCTTCTTATGAAAGGAATCCTAGTCAATTTAGTACCTTCCTAGAAACTGGATCTGGGCTTGAGAGCAAACACACCCTTTCAGGGACTGTAGAAAATAAAAACCCTTTCTCTAGCTATTTATTCACTGCTTTTAACCCAAATCAATCTTCTCGAATAAAAGGAGCAGGAACTTTCCCTTTGCTCGAGATATAAGTGTTTTCTCAGGGGACCCCGGGAAGCACGTGACTGATGACCAGGGCCTGCCAGCTGAGCTGAGGTGGCTATATCTCTATCCACCTCCGTTTGCATCGGCAGTTTAATTCTGCTTTGGAGATTGATCAGGAAATACATTGAGGCCTCTGAGCCAGCCCGATTCCTGCCTCTTGCCCATTGCTGGGAGGTTGGGATGCTGTCTTCTTGAGCTGATAGAACTAGGCTGCAGCCTGCCCCTCCCTGACCACTCTTCAATTTGGGGGACCAGTCAGCTGACAGGTTATTTATCTGACTCAAGTATCTGCCTATGTGGACCCTGCATTTCTGAACAGACAGGAAAGAGCGAGGAACATCTCTTGCCTGGAAAATAAAGCAGTTCATCCTAATTATCCACCCTGATCTCCTCTCCACCCCCTGCCCAGGGATCTGGCTGCCTACCCATGACTGACCCAGGAGAACCCCAACATTACATGGAGTCCTCAAAGCCAGAACACGCCATCACAGAGGCCCCAAAATAGCTTTCCTTAGCAAAAGCAACAGGGAGCAGAGGGGTATTTAAGGATCCCAGAGCTGGAAGAAGGTTTGAGAGATAAAGAAGTTTAAATAAGAGCTTTCTAGCCATCTCTCCCCATCAAGGACCCTATCTGGTAGCGCCTCCCCCACCCCATCCCCGTTAGACCCCGTGGTTTAGAAGCTGAGTTTTTTCCTACCAAACTATTAAGTCATCCTTTTGTGTTCATTGTTTCATTAAGTAATCCCTCTCATTAGCAAGAAAGCAAGTGTTTCACTGTGGAGTAAATATAAACTGAGCCAAAAGCAAAGGAACTTATTAATACTTACAACCTTTTCCTTTGTTAATGGGCAAGTTCTTCTCATTAATATTTTGAAATATTAATAAGCAGCTCATAACAGACTCAAATATTCCAGGGCCCCAGGGAGGCCAGAGTCTGGGTTAGAAACCACTGGAACAGGCGGTTTGGCGTTCTCCACGTTAGGTCAAAATCCATGTCTTCCTAATTAGTTTTACTCCTTGATATCTCCTCACTTCCTTAAGATCCCAACTTCCACCTGCTGCCCATCCACACAGTCCTGACATCCCCTGGGGACCCAGAGCTCCCAGGGTGATCAGAAGAAGCAGGGAGGATCTGTTCTCCCATTGCAGGCCCTTGGTAAATACTCAGGTGTTCGCGTCATCAGCACCACCCCTCCTGTGTCAACCAAATACCTTGCACAATCGTTCTCATGCTGCCATCAGATCAGATTAGCCCCATGTACAGATAGAGAAATGAGAGCTTCTAAGGCTGAAAGTGCTGCACGCACCATCCCACAGCAAGAAACCTTTGTTCTGGGTTCCTGAGCCCTGTTTCTGCCCCTGACCTCCCAGCTCTCTCATGGAATAAGCTGGTCACAAGCCCCCAGGCTCCCCCAACCACCTCTAGCCCCTTGGTCTTCCAAGTCCCTCTTGGTTCACCAGCTTCCTCCTCTTTTCCTGGGTAGATGATCTGGGTGTGGACCCCGAGTTTGACCCAGCAGATGACCTGGACGGAGGCACAGACAAGCGGGGAGAGCAGGTTTGCGGCCCCCGCTTCGCTCCCTGGCCTTGCTGCTCTGCTTGCCTTGCCCGCTTCTTCCTGCCAGCCCTGCACACTCTCAGCTCTGTGGGCCCAGTACATGGTGGGGACTTCTGGAGTCTGGGAAGCTCCTCCAAGTCCCCGGCTTGGTCCAAGCACTGCCCACAAAACCTCGAGGAAAAGACTTGTGCCCGGGCTGAAATGTCAGCTGGAACTGCTGATTCAAACATTTAATACCCCACAGGCCCAGGTTCCTCCTCTGGTGCCCTGGCCTCTCCCCTAGGGCCCTCTAGACCTCCCCAACATCCAGCAACTAAGAGCAGAGTGCTGGCTCCAGCAAGGCGCTTTCTAGATCCTGTTCCAGAATTCAGGCTGGTCAAGTGTGTTGTTAAGCCATCACCACTGGTCAGGGAGCTTTAGCCTTGCAATATTAGCCTGTCCTTCATGCTGCTGTTGGGGAAGGCAGGGGCCTGTGGATCTGGCCTGAGTGGGGATATGCTTTTCTGGGGGCAATTTTTCTGCCCACTGCTGCCTGAGCATCCTTCCCAGGGCTGACCCCCTCCCCCCACCCCGCAGGGTCTCCTCTTTCAACGTTAAAACCTGAGGACATGGACCACACTGTGAGGCAAGACAGTTTTGTCCTGTCTGATGGTCATTCTAGGCAGAGACCCAGGCTCCCTTTTGTTTGGGGTTGTTTTTTGGATGAAGGGACCCGACGCCGGTTAGGAGAGGCCTCACTCAATGGGGCTTTGTGTTCGCAGACTGTGGCTATGATGGGGAAAAGCTCATCCTTCTACAAGGGGCTTTGTCTTGGACTTTCTGGCACTGACTTCTGAAGCTAGTGTCCGGGGGAGGCAGTTGACAGCGGCCCAGGGCCTGGGAATCGGGCTGTTTCTCGGGTTATCTGGGGCCTGCTTTACAACCTGGGTGAGGCCAGGTAAGCGGAGAGTCAGGCAGAGGGTGAGGTTCGGCTATTGGATTTGCCGGGGCTGCTTTCATCTCACAAAGCCACACGTTCTTTGGGAACCCAGCTCCTGGCTGCTGCCCATGGATGCCCTGGTTAAGCTGATCTGCATCTCATCGCTTTGTTCTCTGTGTTCTTATAGCCTTTGGCTGGTTTTATCGTTACGATGGCAAATTCCCAACCATTCGGAAGGTAGGCCAGGACTGAATGCTGTTGGCCGCTGAGTTTGCTGTGGGTTTTGACCTTTCCCCTTGTTTCTTTGCCTGTTGCCTCTCAACAGTGTGACCAGCTGTTTACTGGTGGGGGGGGGGGGGGCTAACCCCCTCTGTGCCTCTCTGATGGCTGATGTCACAGGATAGGGCGCTGTCACAGAGGCACCGTGGGGGAAGTGTTCACAGGCGGAGACCTGCCCAGGTACCATCAGGCTCCGCTGGGTTAGCACCAGGCCCGCTGGGCATGGGGCAGGGCAGAGCCATGGCAGGAATCTGCTTTGTTTCTCTGTCAAGTAGAACCAGAGGCTAAGAGCAGAAACCAAGGTCAGAGAGAGTGAAAAATCCAATTGGGTGCATGCAGGACAGGTTATGAGGCTGACTGCACCAGACACAGACTGGCTCCAGGGTGGGGATTTTTCTGCCTCAGGCTGGATTCAAAGTCACACCAATCCTAGCGCTATCCTAGAAATTTCCCTGCATGTGCCCAGGATAATGCATTTTTCTGGCCTCTGGGGCCTTGAATTTTCTCTCTAAATCTTATTCCTGTTATCTGCAGACCCCATAAAGCTCCCTCTTTTTTTTTTTTTTTTCCTAAATCACTTTGGCATTTGATTATGAAAATGCTGCTGTTAATATTTGTAGATTGGACATTCAGAATGACTTGGTATTTGGAAATCAGGCATCAACATAAATCTGGGTGAACTAATTTAGGTGTTATCATTCGACTGGCTCTTTCTGGCAGGATGTCAGTTCCCCAGAAACCAAAGCACTGGCAGCTGGGCGACCTTGATGATATGTAACATCTCCCTGCCTGGAAAATGGGAATATCTGATGTGCTGGAAACAACCACCCCCTTCCTGTAACATGGTACTGTTAAGATAATAGATGTCTGTATTACTCTTGACAGGGGTCAATGTCTTTACCTAGGAACACAGATAACGATCTGTATCGCATTGAATAAGCACAACAGAGCATCTCAGGGGATCCCTCTCTACACTGCCCCTCTCCCAGAAAGGTCTTGGTCTCATGGGCTGTCCTTTTCATCTTACAGGCTGACTCTATGGCTTATGATATTTCATTGGGTTCAATTTCTAATTCTTCTCTATATACTATCTCTACCGGACAGGGTAACACACATGCCCACACACACAGAGGATTTTACTTGAAAAAACAATAAAAGGAGATGTACAGGTAAATTCTTTTCCAAGCACTAATAACTAGGTAAATGTAAAAGAACTAGTGTCTCCTTCACACACACCTCCCATCAGAAATCGCAGCACTTGAGAATCACTGTTGGCAAAGAGGAAAGCCTGTTTTCCTCTACCCTTTAGTCATTCCAGAAATCGCTAGTGTTTTGGTTTTCATTTCATTTCCAAAAGAGAAAAATCATGTGAAGGTAGAGGCAAGAGCACACCCCTCCCCTCCATCTGCCTGTCCTCTCAGTCTGGACCAGAAGGAGTATTTGCAGTGACTTTAACTGACCACTAAAGGACAACAGAATTATGTCCCTCATGCTGACTCTAAAAATCCACTGACATTTTTTTTTCTAGAGTTATGTGAGATGCTTTGTCTCCAAGCAGCTGGAACCAAGTCCCCAGGTATTACAAGTGGCCTTCCAGGGCCGTGGTCAGCAATGCACAAAATTGCTCTTATTTGAAAAGATAACTATTCAGAGCCTTCCTGGGCCCTCTGGGGTTCAAGGAGCCCAGGCCTATGGCCTCACAAAGTCTACTCCGGTGCCCAAAGGCTTTGTGGTTCTTACTGAGTCCTTTCCCCAGAACTGCTTGAGTAAATTAAGCAGACCAACCCTACTGGTTGGAGCCTGCCGTCTGGCAAGAGAGGCAGATTCACACACAGCTAAGTAACCCATACGGAAAAGGCTACAATGAGACCAGTAGGCCATGCTATGGGGCAGCTTGGCTTTCTTCTTCAGTAAGCAGGTGCTCTTTTCTTGGAAATGAGACAAAAACTGTCACATCTCCCTCCCCACCCAGGAGTCCTAGCTCTAAATTCTTAACACTGGTGTTTTTTGTTTTTTTTTTTAAAAAAAAAAAACAAAAGAGTAGAATGGCCATGCCTATTATGATGGTCCCTGTGGGAGCTCTTGCCCTTAGTCTAGCAAGCTGCCATTGGGCAGAATGGTTCTGACTCCTCTTGGGGAGTTGTCTGAATCAATAATGTGATGGTAGAGGTTCGTCTATCAACTGAGCCAAGAGTCTAGTGAACAGGTAAGAAGGAACCAAGCAGGGCTCTGAAGCAGTGAAAACCATTTTCTCAAGTGGCTCACAGACTGCTCTGAGGGTGGGGCCCCCATCTGCTAGATGGGGGACCATCTCCAAAGCACCTGTGCACAGAGTTGGGGGTTGTCTTTAGGAAGGGAGACAGAATGACTCAGTCACAGGTCCATAATGATCCGTCAGGCCCTCTAGCTGTGGACAAAGTTGTGTGTCCATTGCTGGGAAACTCAATTTCTCATTCCTAGCCTTGAATGTTGGGATGATTCGGGAGTTCTGAGAGCAGGCCTCACCCAGGAAGGCCTGGGAGGGTGGGGATGAGTTCAGCGAACATGCAGGTTTCCTCCTTCCCTGGAGAGTTGATGCTGTTTCCTGGCCCCTGTCCAGGGGCCGACACTCCCTCCTGCCATGCTTCCCTTGCCGCCAGCTCCTCAGGGTGCAGTGGGGAAACTGTGGGACCTGGAAGACTCTAGTCCAAATTCTGGCACCACCACTAAATGTTTGACACCAGGCAAGGGACTTCACCTCTGCGTCTCAGCTCCTTCATCAAGAGAAGGGGGATAATACCTACGGATGGGATTGAACCTGGGTCTTCTGCATTGCAGGCATATTCTTGACCATCTGAGCCACCAGCAAAGCCCCATGGATAGGATAAGCAATGTAAACCTCTTGGTACACAGGCAGTCCATAAGTCTTAACTCTCTTCCTTCTTTACTCCTCGGCTTCCCTGCAAGCCCATGGGAGAAGCAGCTAGGAAAGCAGGCTTTGTGGTCTAATTCAAACAGGAAAAAGAAGTCTGTTTGCCCTCCACTTCCCTCCCCCAATCCTCTGGAACCCTGATGGCCAGTGAAGAACACTTGGGCCATCCTTCCTACCTGTCCCTCCACACCAATTCCCAGTCCTATAGTTTCTAACTAGTCCACCTAGTTCAGAGGAAACAGTTAGTTTGGACTCTGCAGGAGGACATGGTCTGGAGTTTAAGCAGCAGGACAAAATCTGATGTCCTTGGTTCTGGGCTTCCAGGTCTGAGGCTGACACCCTTCTCCTCTAGCTCAGGACAGAGGATCTCTGTAAACGAGGCTTAGCCAGCTGTCCCAAATTTTCTCTAGAATCTACCAGGATGCATCTGTGTTGTCTGAACATCCAGATAATGGAGAAGGCCTATGTCTAGACACTGGGAAATAAATACAGTGCCTTTTTAAAATACAGCACTTGGAAGCTTACAAAATGCTTTCATAGATGTTATTTCATTGGCTCTAGATGGCAAACCTGTGGGGCAGGTATTTCCCCCATTTTGGAGGTGAAATAAACCAGGCCCAGAGAGGTTAAGGAGCCTAGCCAAGGTCACACAGCTTGTTAGTGAACTAGTAAGCCAGTTCTTCTGACCGGCATAGGAAGTGTGTCTCACTCTGCGATGGGTAGCAGCGTCCTGCCTGTCCTAAACCTGAAGCCCAGTGCCCAGTGTGATTGAGCAGACCTAGGAAAGGGACTCATGGGAGGGAGGTGCCTGCTGTTGTCTGAATGCCCTGTTTGCTGTGCTGCGCCAGTGTCAACAATGCTTTGTAACCCTTGTTGTATAAACAATGCCACATCTTCTCAGAAAGGAAAGGATAAGAAGAAAGCCAAGTATGATAGCCTTCAGGAGTTGAGAAAGAATAAGAAGGAACTGGAGTTTGAGCAGAAGCTTTACAAAGAGAAAGAGGAAATGCTGGAGAAAGAAAAGCAACTGAAGATCAACCGACTGGCCCAGGAGGTATGACGTGTCCTGCTCTCAGGCCAGGGAGCATCCCTGGGACAGTTTGGTTGGTCCCCACCATGCTCTCAGGAAATCAGCTAGAGTTCCCAAGTGGAGTCTGAGGATGGAGTGAGCCCAGCCCCCTCCCCAGGCTGGAGGGTGAGATCTTCCCACCTCCCCAGAGTGAGACTAGCTTCTGGCTAAGGTGTGTATGTTTGGGATTGAGACTGCTCAAGAGCTGGCCTCTCTGCCCAGACTGTGGGTCTCTGGTTGGCCTCCTTGCACATGACTAGAGGTCTGTGTCTGTCCTCAACCCCCACTCCCACCAAACTGAGTGCAAGACTAGGCCTCTCCTCCTTGTTATGGCTGTAAGGCTGGCCTCCCTGCTCAGGGTTTGAGTCTGAGGCTAACCCTTCTGCCCAGACTGTAGATCTGAAGTTAGCCTTCTACTCACCTATCATTAGATCTGGGTCAGTTTGAGCCCCACCTCCATCAACAACTCAGGTTATGCTTCTCTTTAAAGCTTCTGTGAATCAGAATGCCAAGCTGATTCGATTACAAAACCAGAGAAGTCCTGGAAAATGTGAAGTGCATTAGATTTGACATTAGAACAAATTAGCTACAGAATTAAAGATAACATTGAACTTGTGCTCCTGAGGACAAGGCAGCCTGGAATGAGGGGGAAAAGAAACAAACAGTAAAGCTGGACTCTTGGAATGTGCCTACAAAAGGACCATTTTTGGAGAATCCTAAGAGCCTCAGAGTTGGTGGGAATCCTAAAGACAGCTAATCTTATGCAAGGCATAAGCCCCTTCTCGAATTTTGCCTATACCTGCTGTAAGCTAACACCCCAACACCTCTCTCCCTTATTTCTCCTCTGCTGGGGCCAGGTGGAACAAGCCTAGGACTTTTTCTAGGTAGTTGACACATTCAACAGTACTCTGGGTTTTTAAGAAGTGCTTCTGAACTATTGACTTGAGTGTGCTGTCCACGTGTGACTCAGGGTGCCCTCCGTCCTCTTTATTTTGCACTGGCCTTGGGTCCCAGGTATCTGAGACAGAGCGGGAAGACCTTGAGGAGTCGGAAAAGATTCAGTATTGGGTGGAGAGGCTCTGTCAGACACGCCTTGAGCAGATTTCCTCTGCTGATAATGAAATTTCAGAGGTAACAGCCCTTCTGTCCTCATAGACCCTCCTGCTGCCTTTGACACCACCCACCCTGGGGATGGTGGGAGGCGGCATGTCCCCATGCTAGGGAGGCAGCCGGGCCACTGAGAAGCTTCACCCTCCAGGGCTGCCGACCAGCCCACTCCATGCGCCCCTCTTGAGGAGGGAGGTGTGTCTGTATTTCTGGGCTTATTTCCAGAGTGACCTCTAAGTCCCAGCTCATCTGAGATGATCTGATAGGCCTGCTGTCCGGGCATAGTTATTAAGAGTGTATTTTTCCCTGTCATGTGCGTTTCAGTTTAGATGATGAATTATATGGTTGCCTTTTCATCACTCGCATGCGTTTTGGTGCCCCCTACTGGCCTCCTGGTATGGGATCAGCTGGGCACCCAGGTGGCAGAGAATTGACCACCCCTCCCGCTTCCAAGGTTCGGGTTTCAAGGGTGGTGGGTCTCCAACAGCAAGAGAAACAGATGAGCATTAGACTCGGTGTATTGTGAAGTGGAGCGCTCGTCCGTGACAGAGCTTCCTTGCCACCCCCAGATGACCACAGGGCCCCCACCTCCCCCACCCTCTGTGTCTCCCCTGGCCCCGCCCCTGAGACGCTTCGCAGGTGGGCTGCACCTGCACACCACTGACCTGGATGACATCCCCTTGGACATGTTCTACTATCCCCCCAAGACTGCCTCTGCCTTGCCTGTGATGCCTCACCCTCCACCCTCCAACCCACCCTCCAAGGTCCCCGCGCCCCCTGTCCTGCCCTCATCAGGCCGTGTGAGTGCCTCTTCCTCGCCCTGGGTGCAGCGCACTCCACCCCCCATTCCCATCCCTCCCCCACCCTCCATTCCCACCCAAGACCTCACTCCCACCCGCCCACTGCCCTCGGCGCTGGAAGAAGCACTGGGCAATCACCCCTTCCGCACTGGGGAGACAGGAAACCCAGCAGAGGACTGGGAGGCCAAGAACCACAGTGGGAAGCCTGCCAACTCTCCTGTCCCCGATCGGAGCTTCCCACCCACCCAGAAGGTACTGCCTCTGTTCTGCATGCAACGCAGGGAAGCAGGAAGAGTGGGCCGGGCTGCTGTTTCCCATGCCCTCCTCTGCTCCTGCGAGTGCAGGTGGGAGGAAACACCACCCCAGCCCCTTTTCCAGGAACTGGCTCCCCAGCCTGCAGTTGTGGACTTCCTGCATGCGTATGGCTTCTGCTGATTTTGAAGTGCTGCATGGTATGGTGAATTGCCTGTGATACTTGGGATGAGCAAGCTGATTGTTCTCTCTGCTCCTCTTGGCTAGTACCAGCTGGTAACCTTCACCGTAGCACTTGCAAGGCTGTGTTAATGAAGAGCCAGGTAGTCGTTTCTTGATATTAGCTCAGAAAGCCTTGAATGTGGTGAATGAATCCTCTGTTTAACAGGAAAGCAGTATTAGACTCTGTAAATGAGGTGATAACACTGTCCACTGCAGTATTAAGACATTACCATGCTGTTTTCTACAACACTAGCCAACTATATTAGCTTGAAGCATAATACCCGGAAATTTCTGGCCAACTGCCAGCTATGGAAAAAAAAATGAAAATGGATAGTTCCTAGAAAGCTCCAAATTTGCAACTAAAAGATTGGGGACCTTTTTCTTGGATGTCAGCAGGCAGAACAGTGATCTTTCTCAAAAAGACATATTCCTCATTAATTGTTCTTTAGTCAAAGACTAAGAAGCAATCCACAGTGAAGACACAGAGCTTTGATCCCTGGGAGGGAAAAACAAAATATTTCTCTGCTCCAGTAGCTGTAAGGGAAGACTTCAGTCAGAACTACAGCAGCTCATGTTGACTAAGAGTGGTGTTTGAGGGCAGGGTAGTTAGTAGTACCTGATCAGCTATTTTTATTAACCTTTGCTGCCTGGGTTTGGGTTCCTGCATGAAGTGCAGACTAAGCATCTCAGAGCATTCGGGAGTGCTTCAAGGAAGGAATTTGGAAACGAAGAAAGTACCAGATGCTGACAAGGCTGCAACTGCCAGCAGGAGCCTCTCAGAGGGACTCCCAGTGGGGTCCTGAGCCCTGAGCCCTGACAGAAGTCTGGTATTCCAAGGGTGTCTTGCCCCCAGGCCCAGCCAGAGCAGGTTTGCAGGAGGCCGAGTGAGTCTGGCACAGAAGCCAGCATCCTTCTTGAGAGGGGCCCCCACCAAGAGGGGCAGCAGCTTTCCCTCAACGAATTCAACTCAGTAATCAGCTGAGCACCTTCCCTGTGCTTCTGTGTCGGGGCCATGGCAGCAGGCTGCGGGGAGCAGAGCTGAAGACAGCACAGAGACAGTTGGCGCACTTGTGCTCTCCAGGACTTTGCCAGCTAAAGGATTAACAGCTGACCAGGCGGGAATCAGCTATAACAGCAACACAGGCTAGGCGCTGTGGGAGGGATTCATTCTTATGGAGGTTGATGGCACCTCTTTAGAGTTGAGCCTTGGGGGATAGTGATACATGTAGGATGGGAGAAGGCTATTGCAGGTGCCATGGACATAACAATGACAAGAAGGAACTACCCAGGTTTGAATCCTGGCTCAGTCGCTGGCTCTATGACTTTGGGCATGCATTGCTTCATCTGTCTGAGCCTGGGTTTCCTCATCTATAAAATAGGAATGCTAATGACACCTACTTATTATGAGGATCAAATGAATTAATACATGAACTCATTCTAAGTTAATAATTGGAGCACATAGGAGGTGCTCAATAGAGATTACCTATGATCAGTGACAGATCAGGGTACAAGAAAATTAGGGTAAAACTGCAACCATGAGATCAGAGGTAACCTGCAGCCTTTTGAGTCAGGGTCCAGGTTCAAAACCAGGTCCCACTTGCTCAGATTCCTCCAGTCATCATGAAGTTCCCACTGATAGTTCCTGATCAGAGCAGAGAGAAGATTAGAAGCTCCCCCCCACACAAGGAGCCTCTGAAGAATTGGACCCTAAATGTCTTAAGTGACATAAAAGCCATGAAGGTTGGGGGTTAGCTGTCTCAGTTAGCTTCATCTCTCCTGTATCAGCACTTTGGTCCGTGCATCACTGACCCTGCCCATCCTCCTCCTCCCTGCATGCTCGGCTGAGGGTCATCAGTGCTGCAGGAGGACGTGTGGACCATCACACATCTGCACAGTCAGCCCTGCCCCCAGCAGGTCTCGGGTGGGGGAAACAAACACCTGTGTCAGCCACACAGGCACCTGCCAGACGAAGGTTTCCAGGGCACTGTCTACCCCCTGTCCCAGGTGCCCACTTACCTACTAAGTCCTTCATTTGCTCATGTGACTTGTTCAGTGACTCCTACTCTGTCCACTGAGAACCAGCACAAGATGGACAGCCCAGTCCTGAGTCTGGTGGGAGGACAGCCAAGTCAGCAGGAAACCCCCGCACACCAGGGCAGATGAGGGAACTGCAGGAGGGGGTGGGGAGGAAAAACTCAAGGAATGGTCCCCAAAGGTGGTGACACCCAAGCCAACGTCTGGGCAGGTAAAGCAGGAGGGAAGAGCGTGTGCAAAACCCTCAAGGCAAGAGAGCTGAGCAGTTTGGAGGCTCAATCTCGGCAGTGTGAGGAGGGCAAGGAGTGAGGATGAGACTGCCAAGGAAGGTAGACAAGCCACTGGGGGCTGGGCCAAGGAGCTTGGTAGTCATTGGGGACCCATGAAGGGTTTAGGGCAGGGCTGTAACCCTATTTGTCTTGCCCAAGATGATCAAGCGGGTCAGAGCCAAGCAGACATGTTGCATCAGCTCTCCTGATGCTGTGCTTACTGGTCCACCCCTACCCCCCCGCCTCCAGGGACTCTGTGCCCACCCAGCAGGAGCAGCACATGCTGCGTGTGCAGTCTGGGAACTGCAGCCGCCTCCTTAGGAAAAGAAGAGGATGGATGGCACCCGTGGCCACTGAGGGGGAGCCTTGAGAGTCTCCTCTGAGTGGCAGTGCCTGCTGGTGCCCCCACAACAGGCTCCGGCTCAAGTCCCTGATTCCTCGGAACCACCCAAATGTTTCTGTGGCCTCAGGACACACTGTGGCCGATGGAATTCTCATCCCTCTGCTGAAGGTCACACACCTAGGACATCCCACAGGGCGAATGGACCAGGCTGGTTCAGTGCATGGTGTGAATTTGCCTGTGTGTCAAAGTGCCGTGGTTGGCCTGGGCCACCCATCTCATGACCTCACATGGGCCTTTCTTTAAACTAACCCCTGTAGACATTCTGCCCAAGCCCACAGCCTCCACGAGGCCCTGGCGTGTCCACCATCTCCAAGCCAGTCATGGTCCACCAGGAGTCCAACTATGTCTACAGGCCACCTGTGAAATCTGAGGTCCTGGTAAGCCCCTCGAGTCCCCTGCAAGGCTGCTTCAGAGGAGTGGACATGGGCTGTCTCCCCTGACTGCTGCTGCCTCTAGAGGAAAAGTGAGGTGGGATTCAAACTCACATCAGAGTTTGTAATAACTCTGTAATAACTCTTCATAAAGCTAATAACCTTCTCATTAGCCAGGCGGTGAATCCATATAGGTGAGTGTTGCCACAACCAGTGAAATTCCTGTTCCTCACTTGATCAAACGGCCTAGAGCGCCAGCTCAAATTAAGAATAATAACAGCACTGATTATTATCAGCCTCCATGTGTCAGGCTCTGTAAAGTAAAAGTGAAGTCGCTCAGTCATGTCTGACTCTTTGCGACCCCATGGATACCAGGCTCCTCCGTCCATGGGATTTTCTAGGCAAGAATACTGGAGTGGGTTGCCATTTCCTTCTCCAGGGAATCTTCCCGACCCAGGGATCGAACCCAGGTCTTCCACATTGTAAACAGACGCTTTACCATCTGAGCCACCAGGGAAGTCCCAGGCTCTGTAAGGCCCCACTTAATCCTCACAATAATCCAGCGAGATGGTTCCTTTGCTACCGCTGTTCAACACTTGAAGAAACTGAGGCTTAGAGAGGTTAAGTAGGTTATCCAAGGCAGAGCCAAGTCTGACTATTTACTCCAGTCTTTCAGACTCCAAAGCCCAAGTTCTTATCTCCTTGCCATTTTGCCAAAACCAACAGCGATTCCAGTTGCTCTGGCCTGAGCCCCTAAGGCCTGTGGTGGGTCACCCTCAGATGGGGCAGTGAGCAAAGCTGTCCCATTTCCCTTCTCCATTTCACATCTCACTCCTCGCTGGGGCTGGAGTGTGGGGTGTGGGCCTGAGGTGAAGGGGGACGGTCTACCCACCCCCCCATCACCTATGACTGAGCCAGTTTGGATTCAGGTGCACCCCCTCCAGGGATGCCGGCCACTGACAGGCCTCCCACCCATGGTGGGAAGAGCCGTGCTAGAGTTTATATTCCCCTCTCAAGGAAAGCCTATCCAAATGTCAGAGTGGAGCCGCTTTGATACTTATTTTGAGTTTTAGCTGTCCCCTCAGCTCCCCAAAGAGTGAAAGTTCACTCTCCCATGACAGCCTGTGGATACCTCCGCATTGCGTTTCAGGCTGATGACAAGGGGTGGTATCTGCTCGCCTGGGACTGGGAGCTGCTGTGTCTGGGAGTGTTGAGGGCCCCCTCCACCATAAATCAGGCTGCGTCTGTCTGGGGAGGGATGTTGGCCAGGCAGCCCCAGGCTGGCAGGCCCAAGGCCTGGCACCAGGGGGCAGACGAGACCTATTGGTAGAGTCCAGCATAGTTTTTGTTTTTTTTTCCTGGCAGCCACAGGAGATGTTGAAGAGGATGGTGGTTTATCAGACAGCGTTCCGACAAGTAAAAGGATCCCCGTCGTGTGTCTGTGGTCCTTTGCACCTCCTTCTGCCCCTCCCACTGCGACCTCTCTGGGGGTGCCTGTCAGCTCTGAGGTGGCCCCAGGCACCATCTGCTGGCAGCCTGTGGCTCGGGGCTGGGGGGTTCTCATATAAGGTGGGTCCTGGGGTGCTGAGACCCCACACCCAAGCTGAGCAAGCTGCAGGTCCCTGGGGCCTTGCCTCTTTTGCTGCCGTTGGTTCATAGAGGAGCAGGAAGAGGGAAGGCTCAGAGTGTCGCAGAGGCCAAGATGTCTGCTTGCTCCAGCCGTAGAGAGAAAGGGCTGCCAGAGGCGTTTCCCTGACCCTACCCCTCCTTTCCTTCTCAAGGCAGATCACAGCTTCAACAAACCCCACTTGGCCCCAAACCAACATCAGGAACCAAGTGGGGACCAAGGACCTCTATCTGCAGGGGGCACTCCTGTGCACGGGGCCCGCAGAAGACCTTGCTGGTCCCTGAGTGGGTTCAGGCAGGCAACCGTTTATTCTCCCACCTCCTGGGGCTTACATCCTCAGAGCCATCCATTGGTTTGGCCATCTCATTGCCGATGAAAGAGCCCAAGATGGAGATCTTGCAGCCAACATCCTCGTGTGTGCGTGCTCAGTCATGTCCAACTCTTTGCCACCCCATGGACTGTAGGAGCCTGCCAGGCTCTGTCCATGGGATTCTCTAGGCGAGAATATTGAAGTGGGTTGCCATTTCCTCCTCCAGGGAATCTTCCCGACCGAGGGGTTGAACCCATGTCTTCTGGGTCTCCTGCATTGACAGGCAAATTCTTTACCACTGAGCCACTCGGGAAGCCCACCGACATGCTCACCAATAGCCTAATATCTGACTACAGGCTGAAACAGACTGCAGGCAGGGAAGAAACGGGAGATAGCAACTGTACAGTGAGACGGGGGGCCTTCTAAGGAGGCCGGGCACTGACAGGTAGCCACTGGGCAGTGACAGGTACCCAAGGTGTGCTGTGCCAAGCACTGTTTGTAAATGCTTTATGTATTTTAACTCTTAATCTTTACCAGAACCTAGGAAGTAAGCGCTTATATCATCCCCATTTGGTAGGTGCAGAAAGATTGGGAATCATGCCCTTGGTGGCACAGCCAATGTCAGACCCCATATTTGAATTTGACCTAGGAGGTCAGGCTCCATAGTCAGGCTCCTAAATCCTCTACCACCCTCTTGGTCATGAATATCACCTCTCTGGGTCCCAGGGTCGCAAACTGTTGGAGGAAGGGCTAACTCCCTCTTCAAGGACTGACTGGCGCTAGTGGCTTGTAGGTCTCTCATCTGAATTCACACAAGGCACAAGTCCTTGCCATCAGGCCTGTGACTGAGAGCAGATTCTCAGAGGGCGGGAAAGAGGGAGACCCATGGCCAGTTTTCCAGAAGAAACAGCCATGGGCAGGCAGAGACCTCTTGGTAGAAGAGAATTGACTCCACGTACTGCCATTACCCTTCTTGCCCATGGATTTGCCGCACCCCTTCCTCTGTCTGCTTCCCTGACACCCACATACCAGCCTGGGAGTGGCTTCAGAGCTGGGCCGGGCTGGAGACCCCCAGGCTATTTGGGGTGAGCCTGAGTGATGAAGGCTCATGAGGAGGCCGGGGAGGCAGATGCCCAGGGATCTGTCTGCTGTTCTCTGGCCCCTGTCTTGTTCCCTGAGATTGGTTGTTCCATGCTGGGCATAGAGGGGGCTGTGGCCACCCATGATGCCAACTACAGGCCCCAGGGGACACTGTATGGCCCAGGTGACTGTGTGCTGGGGGGTGGCCCCACTTAACAAAGCTTGTATGGGCGTCTGTCACAGGGCTTCTCCTTTGCACCCACCTTGCCACGGGGACTGACTGAGGCTTTGCTGCCCCCAGGCTTGGGGTACCCAGCCCCTCAGTCTATGGACCCCGGGCTCCCGCTCTCTGCGTGTGACTCCTGGAAAGACTGTGATTTCTGACTCTGCCCTCCCTTCTCCCTTCTCATGACTTTGTTTCTACTTCTTGGGGCTATTGCCCCCACAGCCCCCACTAAGCCAGGTCCTCTGAGCTGAGGGTCCCCCGCCTCCTGCCTTGGCTAGAGTTCTGGGGGAGCCTTGCCTTCTAGATAAGCATGACATGAAGAACGGTACCGGGCACTGGGCAAGCACAGACACCCCCTTTTCCTCTGGGTGCCTGACGTCCCTTCCGCACGCCCATCATGCTGTAGCTGGTTTCCACAGGAAGGCCCCTGAGCCGTCTTGTCCTTCTTTGGGGGTCAGAGCAGTGGGTGGAGAAAAGCTGGGTTTCACCCCCAGAACCTGGACCTGGCTTCAGGTGGGCTTGGAGGGACTGAGAAAGGGCCTGTAAGACCTAAAGCTGTGGGCAAGGAGACCTTCAGGAAGGCTGCCCTCGACATCAGCAGGTGCCCTTGCCAGTCACAGATGCCCACCTCTCTGGAACAGGGTGGGGTCCTTCAAATGCTTCCCAAGCTTCCTGCTTCTCCCAGACATAGATGCTCTGGCTGTTGGGGCGACCATGCCCCATGCTGGCCACGGCTGCCTCCTCACCCCGCCACTTTCTCCCTACCTCCCAGCCATTCCCTGTCTTCCTTCACCCTAAGCTTGTTTCTTGCAGTGCCCCTGGAGGAGCCCAAAGCCCTAACACTCTCTCTTTGCTTCCAGGATTTCCGGAAATACGAGGAAGGCTTCGACCCCTACTCCATGGTGAGAGATGACTCTCCTCCCCTGGGGAGTAAGCCCAGGAGCAGGGGGCGGGGGGTTATGGTCTATTTGGTGGTGATGCCTTCTGGGCTCTGAGGGTCCTGGGGATGAGTTAGGGGCTGTGAAGAGCGCCGAGGAGGCTCTTGCCTGTGAAGGCTCCTCTCCAACAGCATTCCGCTGTGAACTGGGTGTGCATGTGCTTTATAATGATAGTTACACTTGCTGAGCACTAACTACATACCAGGCACTGTGCTGATGATACCAGGCTTGCTATCACCCAGTCCTCACAATAATCCCAGGGACAAACCACCTCTGTGTATGGGCGTCCATGGGGCCCCCAATTGATGACTGATGGGAATGGGGCAGGCAGGGTCCCCTTGTCCATCCCTTCTCCAGGGCCTCCAGGGCCCAAACCCACAGATGCCTGGCTTTCCTTCCCACCCCTGCCCCCACCTGCATCCTTCACCCCTGTCTTCTTCCTCTAGTTCACCCCGGAGCAGATCATGGGGAAGGACGTCCGGCTCCTGCGCATTAAGAAGGTACGGGGCACACGGAGGCTGGGCGGGGACCACGCTTCTCTGTCCCTGCCCCCTCCCGTCTTGGTCCCTTGTTTCTCCTACTCTAAAAGTGACTCTTGGGTGACCTCTCAGATCCCCACTCTCCTCCACCCCCCTGGGGACCCCCTTCCTCTGGCGGGACCACATGCCCAGGCCCCACTTGGTGCCCACGTCCCATTTTCTTCCTGATGGCACTGCCCGTCATTGCCCCATGGTTTCTTCTGCCCTCTCTGTGGCCCTGACAGGAGGGTCCTGGGTGCCCAGGTGCCCACAGTCTGTTGTCTGCTTGGCTCCAAAAGCCTGTTTCCGTCTCATCAGGAGGGAGCTTTAGACCTGGCCCTGGAAGGCGGTGTGGACTCACCGATCGGGAAGGTGGTTGTCTCCGCTGTTTACGAGGGTGGAGCTGCTGAGCGGCATGGTGAGTGGGGACCAGCCGTGCTCAGGTTTGGGGATGGCGTGATGGTTATACCGGCTCCTCCAGGAAAGCAAACAGCAGCTTGCTGGGAGCAGGCTGACAGCTCTCAGAAATGCTGTCCCCATTGGATCTGTCCACCAGTCCCACACGTTCCCCACAGGCACATGATAGTGTCGGGATCTGCGGGCACAGAGCTTCTCAGACACCACTCTGCCCTCCAGGGGCTCCCTGTCTAGGGGTGGAAACATCCTCAGAATCACCAAATGCTGACTGTAACAGTGTGGTGTGCTATGGGCTGGCCAAGGACTGAGAGGGTGGAGGGAAGCTGTGGGAAGCCTGAGGGCCTAACCCACTGAGGGAAAGGGGGCAGCCTGGAGGGCTCCCTGCGACGGTGATACCTGAGCTGAGCTTTTAAACGTAAGTCAACACTTGCCTTGAGAAGCAGAGAAGGAGCTTTCCAGGCAGAGAGGACTGCACAAGTAAAGGCAAGAGAGAAACCACTGAAACTTGACCCGTGCTTTTAACAACGATAAGAGCCAACATCTGTCCAGAGCTAACCTTGCGCCAGATGTTATTCTAAGTACCTGCATATAGCCTGTGTCTAAGTATTTCATGTGCATTAACCTATTTAATCTGTACACAACCCTGAGAATAGACATGGTTATCACTCTCATTTCACATTCCAGGAAACTGAGGCACAGGAAGGGTTCAGGGCCCGCAGCCCGTAGCAGTGGAGGCAGCACTTGGACACAACATTTTGGTCCTTTGTTTCACTGGCCAGCACAAGTGCCACCCCTGCTTGGGACCTTCCGCAGCAGATCTTCTTGCTTTGCCTTGATCCCCTTACCAACAAAAAACAGCCCCCGCTAATGAGTGAAGCCTCTGTGGACCCAGCACAGACTCATGCTTCAAATGATCAACCCATTCATGTGTCCGTGCCCAAAACGCCACCACTAATGAATTCTTCTTCCAGTCCAGGCAGCCTTTTTGTACTCCTGACTCCTTGAGGAGGGATAGATGCCCTTGAAGGAGGAGTCCCTTAGCAGGCCAAAGAGGGCTTCCCTGGTGGCTCAGATGGTAAAGAATTTGCCTGCAATGCAGGAGACACAGGTTTGATCCCTGGGTAGAGAAGATCCTCTGGAGGAGGGCATGGCAGCCTACTCCAGTATTCTTGCCTGGGAAATCCATGGACAGAGGAGCCCGGTGGGCTACAGTCCACGGGGTTGCAAAAAGTCACACATGACTGAGTGATGAACACACCACACACCCTTGCAGGGAATCCCGGGGTCAGATCCCTTCTCGACAGTGCTAGGCTGGAGTCTCTCCCACAAGCTGAGGTGAGACCAGAGGGTGGTGCAGGCCTGGGGACGGAGGTGGAGTGATGGCAAGGTGACCTGACCACGGTGGCAACCAGGCTTCTGTGAGTTACCTGGGTGAGCCCAGCTCGGCCTCCCATGGCCTTCATGACCTCGTCCCTCACAGCCACACTCTGAGCCTTCATTTCTGCTATAGGAGGGATTCCTGGTCATGCAGGCAGCTGCCGTGGCCCACCTCTGCCCACCTGGCTCACAGCCTCCTCCTCTGCCTTCCTTTCCTGCACCAGCTAAGAGAAGGGCTGATGCTCGGCCCCACCTGTCTGCCGTATCTATCAGGGAAAGAGCACCAGGATGGCCGGGTGACTTCCTGGGCCCTCCCCTCCTTACGAAGCCCCAGCCCGAGCACTGTCTTCTTGGCCCTGAGGCTCCATCTTGGGTTTGTACAAGATGAAAATGTGAGAGCTGCCTCTCCCCGGGCCCACTGCCCAGAAGAAGCTGCTGCCTGCTGTTTGGTCCCACACTGCTTGGACATAAAGCAGCTGGTGAAAGTTCCCCCAGGAGTGCGTGTGTTTTAAGCCACCACAGCCACCATCTTCAGTAGCACACACCACAGGCTGGTAGGCCTTCATGCCCACGAGGCTCCTGGGTAAACTGTGTCAACATAACACAGAATGTTCTGTGGACACCAGGACTGAGAGGAAGTCCTCAGAAAAATAAGGAGAGGTTCTGACATTGAAGGTGTGTGGGGAAACCATGCACAGTCAACTTCTTGGAGAGGCACAGTGCATATTAGTATGCTCAAACATACTATATTAAGATGTTCAAGGCTCTGACAAGTCCTGCAGTGAATACTTCTATCTAGTTTGTAACTTCAGCTTTTCTCCAACTTATCAGATCATCGGTCCACTTATCCAGGAACACCTTCATTCATTCAAGAGCTATCTGTTGAATTCCTATTTTGTATTAGGTATTTCATTAAGCACTGGATATGTAGTGGTGAGTCAAAAATACAATCCCTGCCCTTATGGAGCTGACAGTCTGAGAGGAGGGACCACCAATCAACAAATAGATATATGATAACAAATCGTGAAAATGCTGTACAGGAAAAGACCAGGAGAATACTATGTTACGAGAGAATAGTAGGAAAGATCCACTTGAGACTGAGTGTGGGGAGTGAGTCAGAGAAGACCTCTCAAGAGTTTTATCTCAGACTTGGAACAAATGAAAGAGTGAGGGCAAGTGCTCCAGGTGAAACATCACGTGAAGGCTCTGAGGCAGGAAAGAGCTCAGGCTCAGGGACCTAAAACCAACCAGAACGGCTGATGCACAGAGGGAGGGCTCACAGAAGTAGCTTGTGTTTCTGGTTAACCTCACCGGAAATGCAGGTCAGCCTTCCTCTGCCGTCACAGGGACAAAGCTGGGTTGGCAGTAATTCACTGGTGTCCCGATTCTGCTGAGCTGGGGGGAGGGCGTGTGAAGGGGTGGGAAGGAAGTGCTGCCCTCGAGTAACCTAGTCAGTTGTTTCCCCTCGTGCTTTCTGAACCTACACGAGCTTTCTGAACCCAAGAGTCAGGCCCCTTCTGCGGCCCTACAGTGACGCCCTGTTTTCCACGTACAGCCCAGTTGTATGTCAGCCTTCCTTTCCTGCAGGTGGCATTGTGAAAGGGGATGAGATCATGGCCATCAATGGCAAGATTGTGACAGACTACACCTTGGCTGAGGCTGAGGCTGCCTTGCAGAAGGCCTGGAATCAAGGGGTAAGAACAAAAATTCCCTCCCTTCTCCCTCCTTGGTCTGCCTGCCTCAAACCCTGGCCTCTTCAGCCAGACCTTACAATCAGGGTGCCCCATCCCAGGGTAGATATCCAAGGTCCAGGTAACTCTTGGGTGACACTCACATATCCTATCTGGCCAGTGGTCTTAATCTGACAAAACAGAATTCAGAAGGTCAGTTTCTGACCTTGAGTACAAAAACCAAGTATCATAAATAGACTTCACAAGACCAGATGTGGCAACTCACCTAAGAAAAAGACTTAAAAGCCTTCACTAAGTACATGCCAAACAGGAATCAAAAGAGTGCTTGGGGCTACTAGAAAGCATTAACAGAAGTAGAGGGCCCAGAATGGAGGATGGGCTGGTGGTAGTCTGCTCTGGCTCATTAGATACCCACCTGGGTCAGGACTGCCATGTAAGGTCTCCCAGGCTGTGCACTGCACAATCAGAGGGGATGCTCTCCTACAGACTACCATGTGAATGGTGCCCGCTCATGTTGTGCAATGCACAACCTGTGCAACTGTATGCAGGCAGCCGAGCCTGAGATATTAAGTTCAGTGCCGAGGATGCTGACCAGATGGGCCTGGGACCCACATGAAGGGATGTGGAGAAGAGAAGACTTACGGGTAACATGATGACTGTCTTTGATTATCTGAAGTGCTGCATTAGGGTAGAGGGAACAGAGTGTTTTCTGTGATTTTGAGGGCAGAACTGGATTGGATGGAGGGAGGTCCTGGGGAGAGATTTCAGTTCAATATCAGGAATGATTACCTGGTAGAGGGGCCTAATGATATTCCACAAAATTTGTGTTGGATATACCCAAGGCAAGGATGGACAATGAGGAACAAGCTAGGGATGGCGGTGATGCCATTGAGGGACTTTAAATTTTAGGAGCAGAAAGAGCCTGAAGTTCCCTAATTGGCTGTACATCAGAATGACCTAAGGAGTTTGTTGAAAATGCTGTTTCCCAGGACCTAACCTCAGATTTCTAGGGACCAAGTCCATGAATCTAGAATTTGAAGAAATTTCCTGAGTGATTCTGAGGTTTTTGCCTGACTGTGGTCCACAGATCACCATTTGGAATCTGGTATCATTCAAGGACCTGGCAACTCTGGTCTCTGTGGTTCTGAAACCTCAGAGACTGGAAGCTTCCCCAGACTGAAGGATTGCACTGTGAGAGTCCTCCCCACCAGGAGGACCTCCAGCCCCACCTGGGCCCACCTTCCCATGGGAAGAAGACCCCAGCTGGCTGGTCCTGGGCCATGGTACCCAGCATGGGAATGGAGTGGCAGGGGCAGACACGCCACGACCACTGAGCGTGCCCGAGTCACACAGCTTCCCCCCACAGGACTGGATCGACCTTGTCGTCGCCGTCTGTCCCCCCAAGGAATATGACGATGAGCTGTAAGTGTGTGCGTGCGCCTGGCCCACTCTGTCGTCATCCTCCTCCTCCTCCAGAATCTTGGCCACTTTCTCTCACCCGGGCCCCAGCCCTCTTCCAGCTTGAAGGAACAGCCCAAGCACACAACATCTAGTAGTAACTGATCCTAGAAAGCTCCCCGTCTAGAGCAAGCCTAGAACAAAATCACAGTCCTCAAGTATTGCCAGAGCTGTCTCCAAGTCCGTCTTGTCCAAATTCTTCTTTCCACGTGGAAAACAGGCCAAGTAAACAATGAAGTAGGGACAAAGCCTCAGATTTCTGATTCTCCAGAAGCCCTTCATCTCTGGCCCCATCACCAGCTAATTTAAAGACTTCTGTGTCTTTTGTTCTCTGGCGGGGCTTCCTGATCCTTAGCTACTTTGCCTCATGTAGCCAGGACTGTAGGCTTTGGCCGCACCCTGCAGGTTTTCCTTGGTCCAGGATCTGTCTTTCTCTGTGTGTGTCTCATTCCAGTCTCTGTGTACATATCTCTGTCTCATTCTGTCTTTCCTCCCCCTCCACTCCCCCATCCTTCCTGTCCATCTCTCTCCCATCCAATCCTCTCCCCTGCATCCGTCTTCCCTTCGTCCCTCTCCCCCTTCTCCCCTCTCTCCACTCTGGCTCTGAGTCCGATTCTCCATCTTTGCCACCCTTTTGCATCCATTTTCTCTCAGCATCTGTCTTTCTGTCTCTGCCTCTGTCTCTCTCTCCATCTCTGTTGTGTGCCTCTCACTGGCCTTCATCCTCACTTCATCACATCACCTGCCCCACCTCTGTGCTTGCCTGTCACAGCTGTGCCTGCTCGCTCCCCCTCCCAGCAGAGGCTGAGTCCTGTATGTTTTAGAGAAATCAAGGTCTTGTAGCAACTAGTTCTGGAACCCAGGGTCCAGGCAGGACCCATAGCAGGAGCCCAGTGAAGGGAGAGGTCGGAGGAGCTCTGCCTGGAATAACCGAGCCCTGTTTTGTGTTTCCTGCTCCGCTCTGCGTATGTAGCGCCTCTCTTCCCTCCTCTGCAGCTGAAAGCCCCCAACCGGTCCGAAAGCTCCTCGAAGACCATGCTTCCATGCTTAGACACGGGCTCCTCCTGCAACTGGAGCCTGGCAGCCCCCACGGTGAATAGGCAGGCAGGCTGCATGTCACGGCCGTCTGCTGCCCACACAGCCAGCAGGTTCTTTGGACTGCTGTCTAGGGGATGTGCCATCCCTGAAGTGCCACCTGGGCCTGCTGGTGATGACGCTGGAATTCTATGGACTCAGAGGCCCTCCTGCTCAGGGAAGCCGAGCAGAGCCCAGTTTGTAGCATGCTTAAGACCTGGGTGTCCTCACTCACCACAGCCCTGGGGATCTGCCCTGGGTCCCCACCACACCCCCGTGAGCACCATTCTCTGCTGGGCACAGGCAGCACCTCAAACCAGGCATGATGGGCTGAGAGAACCCAAAAGAAGCACAACCTGGATTTCCCCTTCCTGTGAGCCCACCCTCTGGGAGCTCCACCAGGACACTGTGCTGGGGTGGAGCCAGGGCAGTTTAGAAGCAATTGAAGCTGGTCCAAAGAACCAGGGCTGGCCTATCTGACTGGTGACCTGTTGTGGCCTGAGCCTGGCTCAGACCAGACTGTCCTCGGCGCCTTCCCTTCCCTTGACTCTGGACTCTATCTGTGGGACGCTGTGGAGCCCAGCTTTGGGATGTATTTCCTGCCCTGTGTCAGGGCGGTGCCCATGGACAGAGCTGGTAGGTGGCCGTGAACCTGGTGTTTGGCGTGGCCTAAAGCCCACAGCTGGCAGCTTCTGGGGCAGCCTGGACGTGCTGACTCTTCTGTTACAAGTTTCTCAAAACATTAGGGCCTCATGCTCCCAAGTCAGTTGACCTCAACTGTGGTTGTGGCTTGCAGGGTGGCCTCAGCGGCTCTATGTTTTCTGTCACCTGCTTTCTGCTCTTTTCGAGGGACCTCGGCCCCTTTGCCTTCCGGTCCCCTCTTACCTCATCCCCGGTGTCCCTTCTGCTCCCTCCCAGGCTCCTGTGTGCCGTGGCTATGGCTGGGGTGTGGCTGCTTGGGGCCTGCACCAAGAGGGGCGTTCGGAAGCCGGCAGGGCTAGGTGCCTCAGGGGGCGCAGTGTATGCTCCCTGCCCTTGGCCTTGCCCTCGGCTGAGTGCCCGCCCGCAGGCCTGCACCCGCCTGGGTTGTTCCTCTTCCCCGCAGGACCTTCTTCTGAAGTTCAGAGGAGAAAACAAATTCAGCCCTAGAAGCCAGTGAGCTGTGGCTCCACCCTCCTGATCATCATGCCTGGAACCATCTGAGACACAGCCGCCTGCAGGCTCCCTGGAAACCCGCGGCCGCCCCCCAAGGATGGCAAACTTCCTCCGACCCTGAAGCAGGGCTGCGTAAGGAGCACCTCGGGCCACCTTCTCAAGGCCAACACGAAGGGAGGAGCCAGCCAGCCATTCTGAAGAGGCCCTGTGATCCAGACTCTTCTGTCATCCCTCTGGCCCAGTGAATCTGGGAGACTCCTCCCTTGAACTCTGTTAGGACCTGACTCTTGGATCTCTCTCTCTCTCTCTCTCTCTCTCTCTCCCCACACACACCCCCATCCCTCTCCTCTCTCTCTCCTGATCTCCTTGCTGCCGAGACTGATGCCACAATCTTACTCTGAACTCATTAATAAAATAAGCAGACTTCTTTTCCAGCTTATAGGAGTGAGTGTGGCTTTGGACAGCAGGTTCAAGGCTGTCAAATTAAAATTCATGTAGTTTTGCTTCCTATTCAAGAATGAGAAACAGATCTGGGTGCCGGGATCTGGGACTGACTTGAAGGATGTGATCCAGTGGCTAGGAGCTGGCTTGGAGCAGGGGACTGGAGAAGTTGGAGACAGGCTGGGCTCTTCAGTGTCTTCTCAGCAGAAGGATGGCAGGAAATGAAGTTTGTGTGGCAGGGACTTTGCTCAATTCCAGAAAGTGTAGCTGAAGCCTGCAACTCCAGAAGGTCACCTCAAGGTGTGAGGTATCCCAGTTTCTCTCACAGACAGCATGGTCACAGCTATTTCTCTTGAAGTCACCAAGACAGGATGTGAGCAAGGCAGCTTCAGGGGATCCACTCCATCCATGGAATTACATCTAGCAAAACCTCATGGGAGGTGACAAGGACGTGAGGCAGAAGGGCATAGCTTGCAGGGGCTGGCAGGGGGTGAGTGGAAGCCCTCCTGGTTCAGGGTCCAGGGATGAGCTCGCAGGCTGGCTCCAAGGAAAAGAGTGGTCGGCATATCATGGGGCTCCAAGACGAGGAGCCGAGGGTCCCCAGGCCATCTGAGGAATAGAAGGTGTTTCTGATTTAAGATGCCTCAGAGGAGCAGCTCTCTCTGACTAGGCTTCCTGTCTCTGCCACCAGCTTCTTCTGCATCCTCGGAGCTCACCTTGAATACAGGCATCACCATCTTCTACCTAATTCTAGATGACCTTTCAGCTGTAGCTCCACCACCATTTCCCAATTCTCAGTTCCAGAGGCAGAATCTGATTGGGCCAACTCACCTGAATGTGTGGTCTTGGGGGAAGCTGTCCAGTCAGCTGCAGGTGGGGGCAGAGTCACATACCACCCAACAAGGCGGCTGAGGCAAGGGCAGACTTGCGGGCAGCAAGTCATGATCAATGAGAGGAGCAGAGAGAGAAAGAACGAGAGAGGGAGAAACTGTTGGATTTTCCGATCGCATTAGAGACAAAGCCATGATGACCTCCTAACAGCTGGCTCCCAGAGATAGCAACCATGCTGAGGAATTCTATGTTTTCTTATCTGGCTCCTAACCTAGCTCTGGCGATAATTCCAAAGTGAATGCCGTAAGAAGGGCTCCCTCCTTTGAGGGACACTTCCTATGTGCTGACACCTCCTATGTGCCATCCCTGAGCTGGATCCTGTGTCTGTCACCTCAAACTGCAACGACCAAGATGCTGCAGCCCCCCCTCACCCCACCAAGGAGCCCAATGTTAACAGGCAGCACTTAGCATCAGCTGTCTGCCAGGTACTGGTCTTTCTATGGTAAGCTCATCTACTCCCCTCAACAACTCCACCAGGTAGGGACTGCCATCATCAACCCCATCTTATTAAGAGAAGATTGAGGTAGAAAGAGGTGAAGTGACTTTCACCAAGTCTCACAGTCAAGAAGTTGTGGAGCTGGCATTCAAAACCCAGGTGCTCTGTCTCAGGAGCCCATACCTTTCTCCACTCTGAGCTGTAGGGGGCAGGGCAACCCTCATTGGTATGTCTCAGTTTTTAGGCTGTTAGCAGGACAGTTGTTCCCACAGTTGAAGAGCAATGAATGTTCTGTTCTTCAAGGATGGTTACTTCCTCGTATGACCTACAATTACTGCTGCTGAAGCCTTCAGCTCCTTCATGCCTGGACTCTCACCCTTTGAAATTCATCTCCAGCTATTCTTAGTTATTGGCACCTCAGGGTCAATGAGTTTATCAGTGCTTATCAAGACCGGATGAGTGAGACAAAAAGGGCTTTGAGCCCCTGGTTAGTGAAAGAAGAGCCGGGAGAGTGTGCTATTGGATTGGGCCAGAAGAGAGGATAAAATAAAGGGAGGCTGCGGACAGTGGGGGAACGTAAGTTCTGGGCTTCAGCTTCCTTTTCTATGATGCCTGACTCATGATCAAGGAAATCAGTTCTCGTGTATTGCAAAGCTACTCCAGGTTGAGCTCAAAGTACCCAGCAGACATTGGCATCAACCACTCAAAGACTGGACAACTTCAGAGAATATGTATAGAAGGGAGGCCTAAAGTAGTATTTGGCCTTCTGGTGGGCGGGGGGGTGGGGTGGGGTGCATGGGGTGCTCAGAATTCACCCGGGAGACTGGGCCAGACACGGGAATCCACTTCAGAGCCAAGACTGAGTACTCAGGACGAAAAACCCCTCCAGGCCAAAGACTGCCCACACACCACCCACTGCCTCCCCCGTGCAGGACAGACATCACTCCTTCAATCCTACCACTCTTTCTAATCAGCCAACCAGGCAACCGTTAAAACTGATCAAACGTCTGGCCCCTAAGTAGAACACTATTTACCACCTTTGAATCCAACCCCTGTTAGTGGGTATTCAAGAAAATTAGGGCCAAAAAGGCAGTGTCTTGTCCAGAGTCCCCCTAAGGTGGAGGTAGACCTGCCATTCCCACCGCACTGCACAGTGAGGAGACGGGACGAAACGGCTGGGAATTCAAGGCTGCCCTTGACTCTGAACTTTTAGCATTGTGTCCCATGTCATTGAAGTTTTTTCCCACAGCCAGTCCCTGGGGTGGAGCCGGCTTTGAGCCTCTCACCTCTGCATCTGGAAGACGGAGTGAAAGGGCTGAGTTGACAGTCTCTGTTCCCAGGACACCCTCTTTGGGCTTGTGCAGGGCTGGGAAACTGGTTTTTACCCGATTCTGGCCTAATTCCCAAGATCAAGACTTAGAGGAGAATCTGTTTCTAGAACGAAAAGCCCTTTTCTCCTCCTGTCCCTGCAGTGACCCTTCCCAGCTCTCCGAGGCCTGGGCTGGCCATGCCTCTGTGAGAACTAGAGAGGCAGACTAGGTCTCCAGGGAAGGCAGGTGGGGCTGGCACAGGGAGAGGACAGAGGGCAGGGGCCTGCCACTGCTGGTGCCCTGGGGCCTGGGATTTGCAGCCTAGGAGGCTGCCTGCTGGCCTTGGTAGGAGGAAGATTGCTACTAACTACTAGGTGTGTGTGAGTGTGTGTGTATGTGAGAGTGTGTGTGTGTGTGTGTGACTCAGTGGTGTCCTACTCTTTTCAATCCCATGGATTGTAGCCTGCCAGTCTCCTCTGTACATGGTATTATCCAGGCAAGAATACTGGAGCAGGTTGCCATTTCCTATTCTAAGAGATCTTCCTGACCCAGAGATCAAACCCATGTCTCTTGCATCTCCTGCCTTGGCAGGCGGGCTCTTACCACTGTGCCACCTTACCACGTGTCAAATACTGTGCTGAGCCCTAAGTATGTGATGACGTGTAATCATTACAAGACTTTAGTAAGAGGTGGACAAAGGTGTTACTTTCACTAAAGAAATAGGCATGAAGACTTTAAGTGACCCTCCTGAGGTTAAATAGACAGTAAGTGGAAGAGCCAGGATGGGGAGCCAGGCAGGGTGGCTCCAGCAGGCCACATCATTAACCACTGTGCTTTACTGCTTCCAGTAGATGAGAGGGAAGTGATGTCTAGGATATAATTTCAAGAGCACCAGGAAAAGCACCAGCCATAAAATGATTTCTCTCTGCTTCTGTTATCTCTGCATCGCGTGTGCTTCACATTGCTCAGTGAACCAACCAAAGCCTGAGTCAGTTCATTTAACTGCTCTGCTTAACGCTCTTCAGTGGCTCCCTTGCTGTCCTCGGGACAAAGTCCAAACTCCTCAGCCTGGCATTCAAATCCCGTGTCACGTAGCCCCTGACAACGTCTCCAACCCAGTCTCTTGCCCATCACTTTTTCCACATCCGCCACACATGGATTTCCTGGGCATGCCGTGCTCTATGACTTCCCTGTGTCTTTGCACATGTTCACTCTACCCTTTCCACTTCATGCCCATGAGAATCTCTCTGCATCCTTCAAGGCCCAGGGGACTGTGAAAGGGGAGTGATGGGCCTGGCACAGAACTCAGTCAGTGTGAGCTCCTGCTCCTTCCTGAGATGGACCCTTTAGGAGATAAATGACAGAAACTCAATTCAAGACGACTACTTTAGTGAAAAATCCAGGAGTATTTGATGTCAGATCTGGTTGGATTCAAGTATTAAAACAATGATCTGTTCTGACCATCTGTGAGCGTGAAGGAAGGGAGAGAGATTTTTAAGGAATTGACTCAAATGATCATGCGGCTTGGTAAGTCCAAAATTTGCAGGGCAGGCCAGCAAGCTGGAGATCTAGCAAAGAACTGATGTTACAGCTTGTGTATGAAGGCAATCTGTCCCCCTCTTCCTCAGGGGACATTAGTACCCTAATGTCCTAAAGTAGGGTTTCTTTATCATGGATTTCAACTGATTGAATGAGACCCACCCACATCATGGA